GAAACTACCAAAGTCATCGTATCGGGTTGCAACTATCACAGTCCAAACCGTAAAATTCGCGCCGGAAGTACTAATTAAAACCGGTTCGAAACTGGACTGCAGAGGTCCAGGATCTTACCAGCTTCTCTATTCTCCGAATCTCATTCGTTTGCAAGTCATGTCACAGGGATCATTAACTTCTGAGCCATCCGGAGGAAATCGAAGTTCAGCGCATTCGTTTTGGGTCTAGGACCGACAAATTTAAGGAGGAGTGGCAATTTTTAAGGTTAGGGACATCTTACGATGCAACGATCCAACACGGGAAGAGTTGGAACTTCAACGAGAAATTTGGGAGAAAGACATACTTTTGAGAGTTATTCATTTCGATCGAGGAGAGTCCGAATAAAAGTGCTTCATTCCTTCAGACTTTTAGAAGGCAGTAGATTTTTTAATTAAGGCCAAAGAGGTAACATGGTGAAGGGTCGAAGGTCAGATAGACCTTTGCTTCGCGGTGTCTAGCGGTGTCGAGGAAAGTTTTACTTACACTTTTGTTGAACCGGAAATTTGTTATGAATCGAAATAACGGATGAAATGACGGATAGGGAAGAAAACCTATTACCTTCTATGCGTTCAAGTTTTTAGAACATGGTTCCTTACTAGTTCCATAGAAACATTTGGTATTGTTGTGCCAGAGTGAAGTATTGTCTTGAAAAGGGTGATACACTGTCTACTGGGCAAATCTGAAGTCAGTTTTTTTTCAATGCCCACATTTAATGAAAATTTATTTCGCGATGATAAATCATGGGGTACGACCTAATAGTCACGAGTGAATCGCTAAAAGCTCTTATAGAATAGCTCCTAAAAAACGGCTAAAAGCACCATCCCGACCAGGATGTGAAGGAGCTGATGGAAATTGAGGAAGCAGGAATCCTAATCGATGACCAGCTGTCGCCACAGGAGAAACCGGGGCTGGGAGATCGGGTTCAACGTACACATCTCGCGGATCAGATCTATTTCATCGTTCTCATTTCACGGATCAGATCTATTTCATCGTTCCGAGGATCCGGTTCCTTTTAATTATACGATGTCCCGACAGATCCTACTGTCATTCCAGACGCTTTTTTTTTATGCGGACAGCACGTGTAGAACCATTCGAATTTGAGAACATAATGAACTTACGTTTGGAAACGGAAGCTGGGACCAAACGAAGCGAGAAGGAAATCCAAAGATCGAAACACGACTATTGAGAAATCGGAATCCGACGAGCGATGGTTCCAATCGCCTCATTCAGGAGTGGCAAACACGGCCAACAAGAGGAATTCGAACCCGGGAATTCCTTTCCTTCGTGACGTCTTCCCTTCGTTTTCGTGACATGTCCCTTTCCTTCTCATGACAGGTCCCTTTCGTTTTATTGCCAAGGAAGGCACCAAGAATTCCAGTAAACGGAATAGGGTGCCAAAAACGTGTACTTCGAATAACGGAAATTGACTTACTTATGCTTCCACGCAACAACTTTTAGTCATGTTTTCCTTGAATTATATCATGAAATTAAAGCTCATGCCATGTTCTACAGTTGCTTCTTTCGATGTGGAGCACATTTTCCCCCGGTAACGGTAAGAGACAGAGAACTTTGTAGAGTGGGTGAAAATGTATCCTTCTTGTTGGACTGTTCCGTGGGGATCACATATGTATGTGGGGATCACATCAGGATACTCACAGGTAGCCCTAATTGTCACTTGTGATGGAAACAGAAAACAAACAATTGGGTCTTTTTTGAGGTTCGAACCACCTTCCCCCCCCCCCCCCTTCCCCCTTTCCACCCCTCAGATACGCCAATTGCAAGTCTAATCCACGATCATTTGATCTGAATTTGCAGTCCTTGGTCCTCTCCAATTGCTCTTGTCATTTTGCAGAGTGATGTACAGGATCCTGGGGAACAAGTTCGTGGAGGAAGAAGTGAAAAGCCGGCTGAGACGAGCAGCGAATCGAGGACGATACATTTCCTCGTGCAACGCCTACCTCTGTCCTTCTCTCTCCCCTTAATTCTTCATTCATTCCAGTTAAAATATTTATTTTATATATCCGATCGATATCATACGCAGCGCAATAAAACGAGGAGCTCGTCGAACCGCTTCGGTGCGACTGGGGAACGAGGGGGGAGATGAAGGCCATTATGTAAATGGGGTCGGAACATCATTTCCTGCGAGGAATTTCTTCTCTCTGGACAGAGGATCTCGGTCCGGTCGTGGACCGAGGATCAGCCAGGTTGATATATGGCTCATCCAAGCTCTGTCTTCTGTCATCATCATCATCATCAGTCCTTCGAGGCTTCCCATCTAAACATTTTTTGCCTCGCCACTCTCTTAAGAACATTGCATACATATTTATACACAAGCAAACGGGTATTCATTGCGAAATCTTGGTCCATAGTAGTGATTGCGCAAATAATTGTGCACTTTGTTGTCATCCCCAATCCTTGCTACTGGTCGCGGTTTATCGCGTTTTTGTCGCACCTGGCGGCCTTTCGTTCCCTAAACGGTGGAACTCCAGCTCCCTTAGGTGGAAAAAGCCTTAAATATTTATGAAGCTCAAAAACACCCACGATGAAAAGTAGGCCATCGCATTTGGGACGGACTCGCCTTCGAGTACTGATTCTCTCAAATGCCAAGGTGAACCTCCGATGGCCTTTTTACTCGGTGATTCATCTTCAAGGGGCTTTCAGGGGGATTCTGGTATGTCATGGCATCCTGGCATGTCAGGGCATTTTGATTGCAATGAGAAGTTTTACAACAATCACTAATGCCCTGAATGCTATTCCTGGTGGAGAAATGGCCATTGAGTTTTTTCATACCCAAGGTATACAAGAACCTCTGCATGACTATGTGGGGAGATCAAAATTTGAAAAGAGAACATAAAGGGAAACATTTTGTGAATGGAAAAGTAGGGCACGAATGTAAAGGTGTTACCCGTAACAATATTCCGACACGATTTTTAAATGAGCGAATTTGACCTTTTTTTATTTTGTGCTCTCTGCATGCAATATTTTAAAGAGATGATCGGTACCAACTCTTTCGGTAATAGCTGCAATGAGTATGAAACCTGCAGAATATTTTTTTTCATTTGACATATCAAACGGTTCTCACAGTTTGATGTGCCAACTAGATACACTATTTTGCAAAATATTCTTCTCTGATTTCGCCTTCGATGAGGACTCATCGTAAGCTCAAGCGTTCGCGAGTCGTTTAAAAGGCTTTCCGGAATTAGAAATAATTGCACCAGAACGAGTCTGTGAGCATTCTCGGGTGCGGATCGATGTTGACCGCAGATTCGCGATGCAGCCGGGTTCAGTCGCTGGTCTTCGCGGGGAGACGAGGGTGCTCTGCGTGCTGCTCTTGCACGTCGTGACGAGTCGCTCGGAGGAAGTTCTTCCCTTGAGGCACCAACTCCAAACTCCACAGTTTCCTCCCGTTCGTACGCGTAAGAGTCGCTCATTTTTCTCATGGCGAATTTCTTAGCTTCTGATTCTTTTGAGAATATTTTTTCAGTGGCGAGACGGTCGAATGCGCTCGTAAAAATTTGATTAAATTACTCTTCGGGTATCGTGTTGTGAGGTTTTTGGATTTCGGATTTGCCCCAACGGCTCGAGCAAAGTCAGATTCGAGAACTCGGAAAGGATAACTTTTACGATTGCAGAGATAAAGGATCGATCGGGGGCGATCGTGTCCCTTCCCTTGTTGGGGATTCCTCTGATCGCCATATGCATCGTGGGAATTCTCTTCACCGTCCCCTATCTGTCCCCCGTGGCTGTCCTCGGGACGACAGGGAGAAGGCGAAAAAGACATCTCCTCGCTCCCGACGGTCAAGCGCCTCATCATCCGACGTGGATCGATGCCGATTTCCAGGTGACGGCCGGAAATCCGACGGGGGAGGCGGGGGGGAAAGAGGGAAGGGGGAAGGGAGAAGGGGGGAACTAACGCCTCCTCACTTGGAGTGCGATCCCCTTTAATATTCAATTGACTTTTCGATCTTCGCATATGGTATTGCATATTCCACTGAATGACTTATATCTGGTGGCTCCACCCCCCGAGCACCTTGTTTGTCGCTTTATAAAGTAATATTCTACAATGTTCTACGACGAAACATGGACTATGGCAAGACATGTCTGTACATGAAACTTTCAGAAAACAAATTTTGTGGTATTTCCAACGTGATACGAAAACATCATGAACCTAGATCATTCACAGCGGGTTTTATAAAGCGTCAAACAGGACCACCCTGGTTTTGGGCCACCCGTTATCTTTTCGTTAAGCTTGAGATCGCTAATTTACACGTTGTGAATGACACATGCATCTTGTCATATTTTATCATTTCTGTAATAATTTTGGAACGACACAAGTCGACATTTCCCCCCCTCCCCGAATTCTGCCCAACAATTTCGATCTAATGTTATTTTGATGATATTTGCAAGAGGAGTGGAATAGAATGCAGCCTCAGTTACCCTCAGAACATAAAATGGCAGGAATTTCCCTGTAAATTGGCTAAGGTTGAATTCAGTATTCTTCGCTTGGTTTTTCTTCCATCATCTGCTCTCGAATCATCGCTATTTTTCTGTTTGTCGCGTTACGTCACAATTTGGCTGCAATCCAACAGGAAATTATTTGTCAATTTCCCAGGGTGTCGATGATTGGGACGGAGAACACGAATGGTGATGATGAGCTTTCGTAAAAGAGGAAAACGAGCCCGGAGGTGATATTCTCTTCGTATGCTTCTCGTGATCCCTCCTTCAGATTTCGTGACCGAATCAAAATGAATAAAACGACCCCGTGATAATTCGTTCTCAATCCTCATGGACGTTTTCATTCCATAAGCGCAACAGGCCGAGACGACACGAAGCAGGAAAGAAGAAACGACAGAGAGACTGCGCCTAAAGACGCCGCCCTCCCCCCTCCCCCACCCCGTCGCGATCATCATCCACAAATAGATAAGGGGAGGTGGATGATATTGTGAACTCTCACTGGACGAGTGGACCGAGACGGGCAAAAAAGGAGCAGTGATCCCTTAACACTCCCGAGACTCGACAGAGCAATCCTCACATTGTCCACGTGAGTCAAAATTGCACGGATTGTCGCGACGAGGCAACGTAGATAATTCGTGTTAGCATCTCTCCTCGAATAAGAATCGCGACCTCAACGTGGAAATTAATTATTTATTTCATTTCACCCCGCTACCGAGTCGATGTGCTCAGTTCTACCGAGAATTCGGTTCCTAGCGATTGCTATTTCGTACCAGGGGAAAGGAAAGAAGACTTTGCAGCTCGAATTCTCTCCCACCCCCGCCCCCACCCCTTTCCCCCTTTTAAAGACCGGTTGCCATGTCCACATTAGAATCGTAAGGTCGTGGGGTTCGTCGCAATATCTTCCATCAACTTTACGAAATTATCAATAGAAATCAGAGCAGCTGATCGAACCTAATGGTCGTAGAAGCCATCAACAGATGCTATAGACATTCTGTGGATGATGTTATGACGACGATTGCAACAGCTATAAAATGCATTGCCGGGATTCTTCCGGGCAACTGGCACTCTTACTCTTTAATTATCTGTTCCGTTCATGCTGATGAGTTGAACGTCGCCATTCGTGCAATTATCTCCTCTTACGGCATCATCTTCATGAGCGGACAGCACGGCGAAACGTAGCACGAACGATTATCGAGCCGACATTCGTAAACAGCGTGGATTGAGCAAAAGGACGGTAAGTCTGGTTTGAGTGGGAAAATCCTCCGTCTCTCTGCGGCACTCCTCCGTCCCCGCCGCACTTGGACAGAGCGTTTGGCTGGCGTGCTTGCTTCTATAGGAAGTACGACAGGGCATTCCAACGTTATGTCGGTGGATTCCCTTGCTGTTAGGAGAAATAGGGAACTTGCCCCTGCCGAGGAGATTCATCATTATCGATACGGAATCGTTCGACCGCAAGCAAGGACTCCATTGGAATTTCAGATGCACCATGCGAACTCGGTGAACGCTCACGTCTGCACAGAACGTGCGCATAGCATTCATGTCTGTTTCATCGCTCATAAAGATTAAAGGTCGGACCTCAGGTTTCCATTCAGCATGCTTATGCCATTCAGTATGTTTGTGCCATTCGGCATGCTCATGCCTGTCGGCACCGTACCACCTTATTCCCGTGGGCTTTCAGGCTGTCATATATTTTGTTACCCTCGTTTGCAAGATTCTCTATCATCTCCACAGTGTAGATTCAGTTTATTCTAACCGACAACTCGAAGGCCAGGTCCTTTTCCTCCTTATTAGCTTTAAGAAACTTTTAGGTCAGGGAACTTAAAGTCTCCTTGGAGCCAAAACGAAAACTTGGGCTTCTACGAGCTACATATCTTAAAATGGAGCCAGGCATAGGGCAAATAAAAGAAACACAAAATATCGAGCACATACTCGTCAGTTCACGATATTGCAAGGTGGGAATCTGAGACGATCAAAGAAAGGACACGCCCACGCTCCGTTCATCCTATTTTGAATTCCCCTCCCTGCTTCAAGCAGATCCACAAAGGCTCGGCTCCAACGAGCACCTAAGGAAAGGGTGAAGGGGAGGGATTAGTCGAAGAAATGTTTTCTGTTCATACCGTGATGATGTTCCATGTCATATGAAGTATCTATTTTTTTTTGGTGGGGGGTGGGGGGGAGACTCGTGATGCATCCTTGTGGAATTAGATTGTTTCGTTCACCTAAAACTCCTATTGAGCTCCATTTAAAGTATGTTCAGGGAATTTTTTTTATATAAAAAATTAGAGACCTAAAAATATTATTCATATATATTGAAATAAAAACCTAAAGATAAGAACGTTTGAGTGCAATCTATGAAATAAACTTTTTATTATGGCATTTATAATATAAACAACTAACCAAAATTTTGCATTAATTCATTAAAATTTACGGTTTAGCCTTAAAAAAGCGGGATCCCTGGAAAGAAAATGTTCAGAACTCTTGAACAAAGCAATAAAAAAAGTTTGAAAAAGCACTCATGCATAGAAAAAGCCATAAAATAAGAACAATTTTTGGTCGTTTGAATATTTATTCTCCTGGTTAAAAAAAAAATTGAGATTCACCAATAGCTCAAGTGTCACTGCTGATGTTCACTGAAACCTTTTGAGATCCAGCGACCAATCGAGTGAATGCGGGGTTGAAACCGTGTTGAAAGATGCTTACCATCGACGAATGCGGAAAGTTATGAGAAAACTTGTCTAAATTCGAGAAAGAATTTGAAGAATGTTAAAAGAAATAAGTTGAAGAATTTCCTCATTGATGAGGAAATTCATGCGTGCTTCATGTGCGACAATCCCTCAGGCATTAGCCTGAGGGATTGTCGAGGGGAAACTTAAAGTATTTGCTCTGTTCTCTTCAATGTAACCCATTTCTGCCTGAATTTTCATTTTTCTCTCCGTTGTTTTCTTTTTTCTAACGCCTGAACTACGTGTACTTAAAAAAATCACCGCTAGAGTGCAGCTCAGTACAGTAAATGCGAAACAGATGAAACATGAATAACGGTTGTCTAGGATGAAAAATTGGCAACAACTATTTCATTTCTACAGTTTCCTTTCCACTAGGGGCGGAAATTTGAAACGTACCATACCGTATATGTCACCCTAAGGTTATATATATGCCGTAGGTTTTTGTGGGATTCAGGGGGATTTCTCCCTAGGGAGAGACAGGATTCCACTAAACCCGCGGGTTTAGCGGAATCCTCTCAAAGTCGTGTCAATGTCATTACACCCTAGGGAGATTCCATATCTCCCTGGCTCGAAAATTGCCCTTCCCACGGCTTGTCCCGCCGAGGGCAATTCCCCTTTCGTTTGCGTTGACGGATTATTTAAGGTCGAAGAATACCGTGTTAGGTATCAGTGAGAATGCCGCGCCTGGTTCTGCCTGCCACTAACGAAGAAAGAGCAGCTTGGAAGACAGTGGTTGCCTCAACGAAGGCGAAGGCTTTGAGGGCAGAAACGAGCTATGCCAGTGGGGGTGCAGGATCCATCTGCAAGGTGCAACAAGTCTTGTCGCACCAACGGGTGCAGTTGTAAAAAAATGCTAAGCATAACATGCTCATCCAAGTGCCATGGAGGAAAGCCGTGCAACCTCCCAAAATAAGACAAGTACATTGTTTATTGACTCCGCTTCGAATCTTATTGACGTTGATTTTTTTCTTTCTATACATGGACTGAAATGAAATTCCATTTCCCTTGGGTGTCTTCATAATTCTCTTTCTCCCTAGGGGTAAACAAAATGATGGAAGCATTGGCAGTTTATTCGGGTGATTTGGAATCCCCCAAGGGGGAGGTGACATAATAGAGGTTTTCGAGAGGATTCCGCTAAACCCGCGGGTTTAGCGGAATCCTGTCTCTCCCGAAATCGAAATCGAGATTCAAAATCCCCCTGAATTCCACAAAACCCTACGACATATATATATGTAAAAATGTGCCATTCTGATGGGTTAATGAAAACTTTCCACACGTAAACCTGAGGCGGTATGTGTTAACATGACAAAAGCTACGAGAATGCTACAGGCAACTGCAGAAAAATCATGAAAACATCTCCACAAGTATGAACAGATTACTACGAATTCGAGGGTCTCAAGTTAAAATGCATTTCCAGAACGCGAGAAGATACAAAGAGAAATGTTGGAGATCCACCGTCAGGACCTCGCACGCATTGTAACAGCTAGACATGAAAACCCTTTTGCTGCTTCTTCCTCGTCAACCGGTGAGAAATAGATCTGCGTCGTTTGCAGAATGATGAAAGGGGGCTAGAAGTCGGTAATTGACAGCTGGAAGGAAGCGAGGAACGCGTTGGAGACTCGGAACACGTTCCCTTCACGTTATTACCGATCGACGGAATCATGCAGGCGAGCGAAAATAGATTCCATAATGGAATCTATTTTCCTTCCTTGGGATCCCTCGGAGACCCGATCTAGCGTCCATCATCATTACGACTGCGAGAAATTACATCTGAATGATGTCGATTTCGCTTTTAATCGTAAAAGCACCATCCGCACCGAACCAAATGCACATTTGAGTCACGTCATCACGCCGACGCGAAGCCCCGACGTCCACTAAACAGCCACCAGCCACATCACCAACGACCGCGACAAACGGATGGAACACGACTGCGACGAGCACGGCGCTCAGGGAGGGGTCGCGGAAGGTCGTGGAGGTTGTCAGTGTCTCATCGTGTCTCCGTCGAGACGGTGAGCGGAACTCCTCGTAGACGAACCACAGGGCTCATGTCCGGATTCATATTCTCATTCGTAATTAGCCATCGTTCCTGTGATTTTGAGTCATTCATCGGAGACATAGAGACTTCCTGTACCCCTTTTTAGGTAGGAGCCAACTGGGGGACTGGCCAGGGCACCGTGGTGATGGGCTGTCACCAGGGATCCCGCCAGCCCCGGTGGAATCCGTCTCACGTGCGAGCCGGCCGAGTGCATCACTCGCACGGAGCGAATGACTGAACGGTGGGAAGATGTCCGATTGTCCCGGTCGAGTGACCGGGGTTCCTCCTGGAGGCTTTTAATGTTTAGATATTTATTTATGTAAATGAAAAGATGCATCATCGAGAGAGAGCCCTCGTCGTCGTTGCCTCTAGTAGGCGATTTTAAGATCGGCCATTTTATAAATTTTTGTTTCAGGCCCACGCTTAACACGGAGAATAGGCCCGATCATCTTACGCGGGTTTTATCGATGGAATGTACGAAGAAAGGTCTGGGTTGTCGAAGATATTTAATTAAGATAGGAGACCACGGTGCCCCTGAAACTGGAGCATACAGGCGCCAGCCGTCCTGGGGACGTTTCCTGCGTAGTACGTGCAGGTTCCAAGAAAGGGGGAGAGTTATCTTCGGATCTCAATAATTTCAATATGTCCTGCCAGTAGAAGCAGAGTGGGGTGCGGCTGCAAAGGACTTTTAAGCGGAGAGTCATAAAGCAGGAAGGAAGAAGGTAAGAGGAAAGCGATTGGGGCCGGAGCAGGGTGGGGGGTGAGCCCCATCAGCCCATCAGCTTCATCAGCCCCATCAGCTTCATCAGCCCCATCAGCTTCATCAGCTTCATCAGCCCATCAGCTTCATCGGCTCCATCAGCTTCATCAGCCCATCAGCTTCATCGGCTCCATCAGCTTCATCAGCCCCATCAGTCTCGTCCAGCGATCGGCTTCAGAAGGAAGAGAAAGGCGTTATGTAAGAGAGAGATGAGGCGAAGGGAGTCCGGAGTTTGTTTTCGTTTATGATTAGGTAATGTCTACATTTTTCTTCTTTTTAAAGAAAAAAATAAAAAATAAAAGAGGAAGAGTAAAATAGTTAAAGAAGGGGAGAAGCCTCGTCGGCATCATATTCATGCAACGTCGTAAGACGAGTGAGATGCCAACGTCAACATTCTTCTCTCCGTTCTCTCTCTCTCTCTCTCTCTCTGGCCTCAGAATTACTCGGGATCTCGTTGGGTCGGGTCCCTTCTTTCCCGGAATGTATCCAGGAATTCCAATACCTTTCCTGGTTTCGTTGGTGGAGAAAATAACGAGTAACGCTCCAAAAGTAACGGAGACTCGTGCCAGTGCGCACATGAGCTAATAATTCACTGTGTCGGCGATTTTTCGCCATCTCACTTCGCGGTCGAAGAATCTCGTTCGTTCGAATTAACGGTTCGATGTCTGTTTATGTAACGTCGACAGGACATTGGGAGTCCGACCGAAGTATAACGCGATTTCCGTTTTTTCGCAATATAGATACAACGTATTTTTTTGCCACCGAGTCGACGTTGACGACGGATCGTCGACATTAACACCCATCGACATCGAGTAAATATTGTCGTGCAGACGGGGAGAAAGGGGAAAGGCCGTAGGAAATCGGGTTCACATATTCAAAATATAACTTTTTTTTTCAATGAACTTTTCGCTAAAAAAAAAGTAAAGAAATGCCCAAAGAGTTTACGGATTTCTCTTCCCTCGATAACTGACGGCCAGGATGCGCTGATACCCAAGCGGCATTCACTGGGTTCGAATGGTCGAGACGAGCCGAGTCGTCGACCGTCGGATTTACAGAGATCTTTTCCGATGGTGGGAAGGGAGACAAAGACGTGAAGGGGGAGACAAAGACGTGGAGGGAGTCAAAGACGTGAAGGGAGTCATCATCTTCAGTGGGGATCGAGAGGACTTCTCGTGGGTGGGGGGGGGGGGGGGGGGGGGAGGGGGGTTAAAGGTAAGGTTGAAATGTTGAGACATGGTTGAAGTTGAGAATTCTGTGAAGAATCAACAGCAATTAAATGCTGGCTATTCGTAATCAACCGCATTTTCAGCTTATGATGACTGCTCATGGATTAGCGAAGTCTTTTGGAGGTCTTTAAGTGCAAATTCATTTTTCAAATTTGCCTTTATCATAGTCTGAATAGTGATTCAATATGCAGTTATCCACATCATCTCAACAAAAATAGGTTCTACCAATCGGCGCGAGATGGCGCCTAACCGCCGATATAGCGATTGGAATGGTGGAAAGGAAGGGGGAAGGACTGACTATCTTTGTGGGACACCCTGTACTTCTGCCTTCCACTCTTCCTGGCCTCTGGAAGGAAGCTTCATGGCTGATTATGGTTTTCCATAGGAAAAATATGTTCCAAACGTCAAATTCACATAACAGTTTGTAATAGCACGAATATAACCGAAAACAAACACAACCTGTGTCTTGTCCGTGTGTCCATGCCCATGCATACTGATTTTCGCAGCGATCAGGATTAATTTTGGCTATTTTCTGATAGTGTGTCTTTCCCCCCCCCCCCCCCTTTCCCCTCCCCCCTCGATCGCTCGACGCACCGACTCGAAACACCTTCGATTCTCGTTTCCGCGTCTACCCGTAGAGCCGGATCCCGATCGAGAATGAACGAAGCGGAATTCCGAAAACGGGGTAAGGAGATGGTCGACTACATCGCCTCGTACATGGCTTGCATCGGCTCTCGACGGGTGACCCCGGCCATCGAACCCGGGTACCTCCGCGCCCTCATTCCCTCGCGGCCGCCCGAGAGGGCCGAGCCGTGGGAGCAGATCATGGACGACGTCGAGAAGAAGATCCTCATCGGGGTGAGGGAAATTCCTTCGCAGAGATTTTTGCCCCGTTTCGTCTTCGCTCGATGATTTCGTTCTCGTTCCGGAAACCGAATCGAAAGCGGAATGCACGTCAGACGATTTTTGATGAGTTTGTCTCTCGCTCTCGTATCGACCGGACGCGAATCGAGTCGTTTCCGTCGATGATCGATTCAAACATGCGTTTTACTCGCTCTTTAACTGATTTTCGGCGTCTCATTCTTCTCCGCGGAAAAGAATCAGACGCCAATTTTTGTACGGCAAAATTTCCACGATCGCACGCAACCGTTTAAATTCTCCCGCATGTCGTCGACGAAACGGACGGACAGGCTTAACATTATCAACAACTTAATTAACATCATCGATAATTTGTCTTCGTCCCGAACGGTCTCGAATCCCAGGTGACTCACTGGCAACACCCCCGTTTCCACGCCTACTTCCCAGCCGGGAATTCCTATCCTTCCATTCTGGCCGACATGCTCTCGGATGGCATCGGATGCGTCGGATTCTCCTGGGTAAAAAAAAAAAAAAAAAAAAAATATTTCCTCCTAATTTCAATTTCGACAGCATGAGAAAAAAAATTGTCGTTCAGGCTGCCAGTCCTGCTTGCACGGAGCTGGAAACCATCGTGCTCGATTGGGTCGGTGAGTCGATGGGAACAATTTATCCTCGTTCACGAGTGTGCTAATTCCCAGGAATGCGATGACATTCATTTTCCTTTCCCAGGAAGGATGATCGCCCTTCCGAATCAGTTCCTTGCCTTTTCGGAGAAGAGCAAAGGGGGCGGCGTCATTCAGGTAGAGCGATTCAGTCCTAACTCATTGTCAAATAAAACGTCATGCATGGTTTTCGTGGCTTTCTTTTTCGGTGTTGGTCGAGTGGAGTTTTTTCGCATGGGGTTTTGGCCGAAGGGTATTGTTCATTGTGAGAATTTATTTGCGACGGATTTTTCCGATTCGATCATTTTTCGATCTTATTTAAATTTCACTGGCAACAGCAAGAAAAGTTTCTTAATTATACCGGTTCTTCGGTCTTCCACTTTTCCTCACGCAACAGAGGAAAATATTTCCTTTCATTTTTTATTATAAATATTTTTGGTCGTCAATTTTGAACTCATCCCACCGAGACCGCCCGTGCTCTCGAAGACGTCGGCGAGCGAGTGCGTGCTGGTGAGCCTCCTGGCGGCGAGGGCCCAGGCGATCCGGAGTCTGAAGGCGCAGCATCCCTTCGTGGAGGAGGGGATCCTCCTCTCGAAGCTCATGGCGTATTGCTCCAAGGAGGCTCATTCCTGCGTGGAGAAGGCGGCGATGATCGGCTTCGTCAAGCTTCGCATCCTCGAGCCCGACGAACACTTCAGTCTGCGTGGGTCCACCCTCCGACAGGTAACAACAAAAAAAAAAATTTAAAATTTGCGAAGTGCGCCTGTGTATCTGCGTCCAAAAGAACGAACGAGAAGGATCAGTATCGACCTTACAGGGCCACTGCCGTGACGGTTCCATTGCCATATCGGAAGACCGCGACTTGAACGAGAGAAAAAAAATTAAAAAGGTTATGTCTTGCGCCGATCTAAGAACCATCATTCCGTGTCAAGTCGTACGATTTCCGAGGCTTCGAACACTCGGTCGTCTTTCGAGTTCGGGCATTCCGATAACAGGCTGCGAAAGCCTGTAAATCGGTCGGGTCAAAGATTTCTTCGAACATGAAAGAAATCTTGGACTCGTCGTGACCGTTCGATCCCGCGGAGAACATTCACGGGGCTCAACGTTGCAAAGGAACCTGATTTCGAGAAACATGGGTCGGATCTGACTTTCGGGGTTCGATCGGATTCCAAGATGGGACCGAGCGTGCAGGTCTCATTGGCCTGTACACGTGATATGAGATGCGTGATGGATTTGGTCATTTCGTGCAGTCCTTTTTGGTCCGGTCCAGGCAGGAGATTCGGAGAGAATTGGATCGGTTCCGAAATGATTGCTCTGCGGCTGGAATGAAATTAGGTTTCCCGAAAACTCCATCGTGGTTCTCGAGAGAGATCCTATGAAGTTTGCATCCAGTGGGACCCACAGGAACAGGTCGAAGTCGCGTACCTCTGGGTCTGGTTCTCGAGTCGTGTTATCGAGGTTCTCCAGTTTTTTTTTTGTAATATGGAGACGAGATCGGCGGTCGCATCACCCGGACTTCGGCAACGTCGCAGGAACGACGACGGACCGTATAGTTGCCAGATGAGATATTTCCAAGGAGGAGGAACTCGTCGTGTTTATTTCCCCGTCCCTCGCTTTTTGCCACGAGATGACGACCCGGTGCGAACGAGCGAAAGGGCCATCGGAATAAAAGAAGCACGCACGTGCGAACCGAGTCGATGAGATCGTTACGTCTGGCGTCGCGCGTCTCGCAGAGTGCCTCCAACCGTCAGGACCTCCAGGTCTCGCTGCTGCTTCCCCTGTGGTTCCGACTCGTCTGGTGGAGGGTCTCGAGGTCTCGAGGTCTCGAGGTCCAAAGATGACCTGCAGAAGACCGATCGGTAGACCACGTACGAGGTGGAACGACCATGTCGCTTCGATGCTCGCGGCTCGGCGTCCCGCTTCTTCTCGTTCTATGTGTGCATGTATGATACTTAGTATATCCCAGCATATTTATTTCCAGGAGTCGGCTGACTGTTCGTTATTCTTAAATCAACTGGTAGAAGCATAAAAACACGAGGCGTCCTCATTACTGAAAATTCAAGAGAACGCGACGTCGTATGCGGCGTGGCAGAGCCTTAACGACTCCATCGTTCCTGTCAATATTTTAAAAATAATTAACTCGGCCTGCGATCGGGATGATGGCACTCCGCGAGGAGTAGCAGTAGCACAATTATCGCTCGATTCCTCGATGCGAACCCGAGGCCACCGATTGCACGAACGAAATATGGTTCTCAGGCGATGGAAGAGGATCGAGCGATCGGATTGATCCCGTTCTTCGTGTCGACGACCCTGGGCACGACGTCCTGCTGCTCCTTCGACGCCCTGTCGGAGATCGGGCCCGTCTGCCGGGAGTACAACGTCTGGATGCACGTGGACAGCGCCTATGCAGGCAATGCCTTCATCTGCCCCGAATTCCGCTATCTCATGAAGGGAGTCGAGGTGAGTGGCTTCCCCGAGGTGCCCCCGAGGTGCCCCCGAGGTGCCCCCGAGGTGCTCTCGTCGATTGGGTCGATGGTGGAAATTCACGTGGGGATTTAATGGCACTGCGGAGGTGATGTTTATGTACCTGCTGCAGAGATCTATAAACAATTTTTAAAGCGATTGGAATCTTCCTGTCGTAAGAGAAAACTGTAAGGATGATATCCGTACCTCGCCTCAAGAAGGGCATTTGAGTGCTCCTTCAAATTTCACACGAGAAAGAAAAAAACTTGCTCAAAAATACGATTTTGAAGTCTGATCGGTTCGAATGCCCTTTTAGAATCCCACAATTCCTAAACGCCGAAAGATAGACAAATGTACTTTTGACAGGAAATGCAGCTCGATGAACTGAAACTCGGCGATGCCAAAACCGCAATTTATATCTGATAGTAATTGCAACGTGCCGATTTCGGCGAAGGGTTAAGAGCTTGCTTATCGACTCCGTCTGTTCTCGCTTTCTCGTGGGACAGTTTGCGTCTTCGTTCAATCTGAATCCCAACAAGTGGATGCTGGTCAATTTCGACTGTTCTCTCATGTGGTGAGTTCGTCGGTATGTCTTGCTTAGCATTTCATTTTTTTTTTGCGTGGAATGATTCATTCTTGATTTGTCGTCGATATTTAATTAGGGTGAAAGATCGATTCAAGCTGACGCAGGCTCTCGTCGTGGACCCTCTCTACCTTCAGCACAATTACTCGGATAAATCCATCGACTATCGAGTGAGAAATCCTCGCCGTTCGTTCCAGACCCCAAAAACGGAATTCGAAGCCCTTTCCCCTTTCCATCTTTTTTTTTTCAGCACTGGGGAATTCCCCTGAGTCGGCGATTCCGGTCCCTCAAGCTCTGGTTCGTCATTCGGAATTACGGCGTCGAGGGACTTCGAAATTACATCAGGGAGCATTGCAGATTGGCCAAGAAATTCGAAGAACTGGTCAGGAAGGATGTTCGATTCGAGGTCGTCAACAAAGTTCAGGTATCGAGATCTCATCGAATCGTTCTGTCTCGCAGTGTTGCCCGATTACTCGCTCTCTCGAGTGATCAAGCAATTTATTTTTAGCACTTTTTCCTGGCAATTTTTAAAGCGAAAATGTTAAAATTAAGAGCGAAAGTGAATTTACGTTTTGTTTCCACGGCGGAGATGGGACTGGTGTGTTTCCGCCTGAAGGGATCGAACGGAATGAACCAACGCTTCCTGACGAGCATGAACGCATCCGGGACGCTCCACATGGTTCCGGCATCCCTCGCCGACAAATACGTGATCCGCTTCTGCGTCTGCGCTCAGAACGCGTCGGAGGACGACATCCGTCTGTTACATTCTTTCCTGCTTTCTCGCTTTTCTCACCTTTCTCGCCGAGTTTTTAAGTTCTTGGAAGGGAATCGTGGAATGGGTCGAGTGCATTTAGATATCTCTGTCGAGTGCTTTGTTTTTAGCAGGTCTTTTCTCGGGTCCTTCTTAGTCAGTGAAAGCTACTAGAACGCAATATCGATGATGAGGCGAAAAGTCTAGAGGAATCTAGAGTCTGGAGGAATCCCATTAGGTTTTCGAGACATTATCTTTCGTTCCTATTGGATTGTTTCGTGCTTGGATCGGAAGCATGCAGCCTGGTGGAAGAAAAATACGACTGAGTGCAGGAAGGGAAATTTTTATCTTGCAACGGTAGAAAATGAACATGGGTTCTCCAGTAATTTACCATAATCACCAATTAAAGTTGAGGCCCACATTCCAGTCCGAATAAGTCTGCTTGAGAGCCTGGGCAGCCCATTCTCCTTCGCACGTAGGTAAAGCTCAAGTAATTTATTCATACATTTCTTATTGTCCTTTAACACCTGGTACGCCACGTAATCCGTAAGGTAGCCAGCTTTGCAAAATCCAGTTGAGACAGATAGTTGGCCTTATCAGCTTTAATCCTGCAAGCCAGGTGGGGGGGGGGGGGGTGTCTGGACTTCCCGGGAGACTTCTCCCTATGGTCTTGCGTACATTTAGGTAAAATCAGGCAGGAGCACTCAATTCTCATCCTTTAACTTTCGCGGACTAAGAAAACTTAGCGCTAGTACCACAAGTCCCGTTCCGTTTCGCACTTTCGTTCTCCCGAGTTCCACTTTTATTCTCGAAACGCAATGGATGGGGAAAATAGTTCCACCAGAAAGTTTCTTGAAATGCGATCCATCCGATGCGTGTTCGATGATCGTTGCAGTGCATGCATGGACGGTGATCCAGAAGTTCGCCGAGGACGTGCTGACGAAGACCCGAAGCCTGAGCATCCCCGAGGAACCGCAGCAGGTACTGAACCCCAACCGGGAACGGGAATACCTTCGGCAGGCCTCCTTCGGATCGAGGCGGCACGAGACCCTGTCGCCGGGCTGGACGGGGGATTCTCCCCTCGATGGCGCGATCTGTCGGCGGTCGCAGGGGCGCGGACGCCGGTCGGCCGTCGGTCGATCCGGTCTGGAATCGTTCGACGTCGGATGCGTCTCCGTTCGGGACTTGGGCTTTTCTGTCGCCGGTCGTTACTGCAGTCCACACGGATAGCTATATCTTTCTTAGAGGGTGTAGCTCTAGTGAAGCGGTTCCCTTGTCGAGGTTGTGTCGCATCGAAAGATGCGAATTTACTAATCGATCCGACGAAACATTAATTTCGATTTTGCAAGTTGTCTCTGTTAACATCGTTTTTACCTTCTTCTGTATTTATCATTCAGTAGGTTCGTTTCTGCTGACTACATGCTCATAATTTTCAATCACGAATTCTTGATTCTTTAATTCTAACATATTTGATTCATAATTGGTTAATTTCCATTTAATGAATTCAAATTTATATATATAATTCTTTTTTTTATTTGCAAGGGTTCACTAATATCATTGGAGATTCATATTTGAATATGCTTCGCATTTTGGGTATGGCTAATATTGGATCCTCAAGTACTTAACTATTAAAAGTCCCGTCATCGAGTGTCTCAGTCGAGTTCCTATCTCGGTCCTACGTAATTTACTCGACTCGTTCCCGGCCTCTCGTTCGCTCGAGAAGAATAATGTCTCCGGATCGCGCAGGTGAAGGAGGTTGAGACGAGCGAAGAGGAACTGAAGAAGGAATGGGAGGAGAAGTTCAAGAAGGATCTCCAGCACAAGAGATCCTTCTTCGTTCGGATGGTGAGCGATCCGAAGATCTACAACCCGAAGATCGCCAGGGCTCATCCTTTCCAGTCGGCCGAAGGTCACAGCAACGTCCTCGAGGAGCCAGTCGTCGAAGAGGAACCCGAGGAGAAGGAGGAAACCCGGAGCCTGTTATGCGACAGAAAAGCCCAAGTCCCGAACGGAGACGCATCCGACGTCGAACGATTCCAGACCGGATCGACCGACGGCCGACCGGCGTCCGCGCCCCTGCGACCGCCGACAGATCGCGCCATCGAGGGGAGGGGAGAAGGGGGGGGAGGGAGTTCGTTTTGTCATCGTTAGCTTCATTTCGTTTTTACCTGCCATACTCTACGAGAGAGTGATGTTTCCGTGCTTCGAATTCATTGTTATGCCAGCGTTGGCCTAATGACACTGTTCATATAGTTGGGATTCCTGCAGCTAAATTTTATTCAGACAGCAAAGAGAACTCACACTCAGAGATTTCCAAAAAAAAAGGGACGTCCTGAGTCCTGAATGTATCAATAACTGATGCCCGAAGGAAAGATTCCAAGCGACTGAAATAAATTTTGAGTACAGAGGGTTTTCAAATGACTATTTGCCTACATCTTTGCTGGAGGCAAAAAGGTTCGCTTTACGATCGTTTGACAGGATGGTTTCTCGACTAAACGTATCGAGTCCGGAATATTTTGAAAGCGGTTTTCTTTCTTGCCCGCAGCGCAACGTGGATCAGCTGGCCGATGGCGTTTCTATTCTCGGGCGTTTTCGACGAGAAGGTTCCGGTTCGTTTCCGACACTTGGACACGAGGGTGACGTTGAAGAGTCCGAATCAGTCTCGGAGTCCCTCGAGGACCCCGAGGAAGGGAAGCCCCGAGGAAGGCTACAGGAGCAATTGAAGAAAACCGATTTCACGTCTGTCTGGAGATGTTCCGTCGTTTCGAATCTCGAGTATTAAAGCGTGGTACTTCTTCGTCGAGGAAGAAGTCGAGCAAGGTGGTTTTCATTTATCGAGTGCTTCAATGGCTGGAAGACTAGTTTCTTTGCTCATTTTTTGGTTGCTACTTTATATCGGACGGACGACGACGAACTATCGACTATCGACCGGTCGATCTTGACGTCTTCGGTCGTTCTCTCATTTATTCCTATTCCCGCAGAGATTACTCGTTCGTATGCGATTGATGCCATGATTAGCGAATCAGAGTTCTTATTCTCGAGAGGGCAACGTACGACCGACTGGTATCTTTGGCGCCAATATGCACCTCTTCTTTCTACAAAGTTAACCCTTGCGACTTGTGCATTGTCACTGGCCGGGGAAAAGTAAGTGGGAAGTGGATTCTCGATATTACTTCTCCACCGCGGTACCAACACGGCGCGAGCGTCATCCTCTTCCATTCGCAATCTCTTCGAATTTGACAATTCTGCTAGACGTTTCTGCTCCGTGGATTTCCGAGCCTGCTCTCGTTCTTTCTTGCTCCTGGCTAAGCATTACGAATCTGAGGAATTTTAACCCCTGATTCTCAACATCTAGTTGATATTCCAAACCGAAGCACAATATTTGGCTATCGTGTACGATTCGGTAGCCTACATCATGGTGCCGCTTACTTCATAGGCCCGAAAGATGCATTCAAGATGTAAATACGATTCACTTATAATTTTTTGGAGAAAAATCCCCTCCACTTTTTTTCATCTCTACGAAACTCATGCGGGATCTTCGAGTGGTTTTAGCACTCTCAGAGTATGACTCGAAAGATCGCGATGCATTTGCCATCGCTCTTCTCTCCTGGAAACATTGATTATTCGAGTAAACGCCAGATGGCAGGGCTGGACATTTCATGGTCCATTCTTTGATCTAAATCTCTTGACCTGAAACACCGATTAGATCGAGCGCATGGACGTATTCATCTTCCAGGTCTACATGTATGTCTGTCGAATGGCATCTATGACGTTAGAAGCTGTGATGTGCAGATTTTATCTGCAAAATTTATTTTTTGGCGAAAAGAGGGAAAGCCGTACGTTGAAGTAAATTATGCCCCTGAGAAGGACAAATTCTTGGATGCTAAGGAATCAGTGTAAAAATTGTCAGCGCTCTATATTCAGCGGTTTGGACTCTGGTTTGGTTCTGACCGTCCCTTTATTCACCTTTATTGACCTAAGCTTCTCCAATGTATGCATTCCTTTTTTCTTTTCGTTATTGCATCTAAATTTACTTACCAGAGATACCTCAATGTATACTTCCCACCAAATAGAAGCAAAAGTAAGAATTTGAGCGATCCTATGGATTCTGGATGCACCCTCTAAAGAGAAGATTCAGAAATGAGGATGATTCATGAATGCGAGAGACCTCCAGCACGACATCCGGCAGTCGCGGTTTTCCCTCCTTCGTTTCTGCCTTTCAGCAGGAGTTGGTTGAATTTCTTTTATTCACTTACACACCAAGTCACTGAAGAGAAAGAAAACCATCACCATGTGACTCGTGCCACTCGTGATTCACGTTCCAAAAGTTGCACAGCCAAGTAATAATGCACCGATGCAGATTAGTCTTGAAATGTGCCCTTTCATCGCATGAAGTGGATCAGCGCTGCTTCGATCACTTGAGACCAAATGGACTGCTTTTTACGCCCATCATTTTTCACGTCGTTGTGTTCTACACGTTGTGGAATAGTAATGCTGACGGACGTCGTCGCCTCAGAATCGACCAGTGGCGGTTCGTGATATTTAGTAATAGTGGTTCGTCTATGGAGAGCCTAGGCAGCGCCCTCTCCTGCGATGAAATGTGGCACAAAACACCTGAATGTCGTGAAACACCATCCAACTCATGCGTGGAAAAGGTATATTTTATGACCTCACTAAAGATAGTCGATTTTTATTCGAACAACCTAGATACATGAAACTTTCCGGAAACAAATTTTGTGGTGTTTCCAATGTGATAAAAAAGCATCACGTACCAAGATGGTCCACAGTGGGTTTTATGGAGCGTCAAATAGGACGCGTTTTTTTTGGGTCATATATATCCCTCACATTTGACCTAAATGACAGCGAAGTACTGGATAAATCCATTTACGAATGAAAGTTGGGTTCCTTTACGGAAGACCTACAGTTGGAGATCGCGTCCCGTCCACAGTAACACAAGTAACGCAATATATTGATGGAACGTTTCCGTGATGTTGCCAATGTTGCTCTACGTCGCAAGTTGATGAACAACATTGATTTGATTTTTAAAAATTGCTTCAATGTTTCCCGCTTTTAGCGCTTCGAATGTTGCTGAGACACTTCTACAAATGTTATTGCAACATTTGCTATCGATATTGAAATTATGTTGACATCGACAACATGACGACAGCATTCTGATACAATTTGCACTTGGAAGTTTTAAGGAATTGTAAAGTTGTACTCCATACCACTAGAAGGAAGCGTTGGTCTTGCTATTCCAACAGAACACAAAAATGCTCTTTACCCTTTCCCTGGAATCGTCCCTCGCAGGATCGTTTCGTGCTTCGGCATATGTCTCACCTAGCCTCATTATAGGAATGGACGAACAGAGACCCTTCGTCGTATGTTATCCCATATTCGAGACAGATTCATGGAGCCCAATCAAACTCATATTCCATATAAGAACCCTGCAAAAGAAGTGAATAGTCATATCCTGCAGGAGATGAAGAAGAGCGGTAGAGTCTGTGAACTCAATCCATGAATTTCGTTTCCTGAGAACGGAATGGGGATTGACGAAGTACCGGACACTCCATTGAACATTGTGGGTGGACCATTCCCTAAAATGAAACATTAATTACATTAGGGGGAATATTAACTCACAAAATGTGCTACGTCTCCTGTCTATCCATGATATTGTATATTGTATTGTGCACGGGCAGGAGGTTATTCTAGTACAGACTTCATCCTGTTGATGGGAACCCACCTTGACTGGATAAGGAATGATGAAAGTCATAATTCAATGTTGGCAGAATATCGGTCCAATTCAGGGCCAATGAAGCCTATACTTTTCCTGGTAGTAATGCCAAAATAGACTATGTGCCAAAGAGGCAACGTTCTCCATCAACATTGCAGCAACTAAAGTTGAACGGTCCCGAAACGTTATTGCAACATATACTTGATGATCTGCACCGTTAATGCATTGTTCTTTTGCAACATTCGAGCAATGTTGACGTTTCGGACACTTACACATTGACGCAACATCGATCATCAACATTGTGAAAACGTTGCTGGAATATTTTGTGTTACTTGGGGTCATTGTAACATGAGTCACGAGAATTTTTCTTCCATTTTTCTCGCGCTCAAAAGAACTTTAACAAAGCGTATTATTACACCCATCGAAAGCTCAATGCCTAAAGTCGTGATGCCTTCGGGAAAGATCTGAAATTGAAAATTCGGAAGGTAGGGTGGAATTAATTTATGAAAATCTTGTGCCAAATTTAACGCGAGTCACGATGGAACCCCCCCCCATATGAAAAAACCTGAATTCTTCTGTCTCTTTCCGAAGCTCCTCACAAATCATGTCCCACTGGATCTCTCCTGACTCGGCAGCATGAATTAATTCCTTTTAATGAAATGAATTCATTCCCGCTGCCGAATGAAAAGGGAAACCAAAGAGGAGGATTCATTTCTCAGGGATCGAACAGGAGAAGGTAGATATCAGGAAGAAATGAAGTGGGAGAGGATTGAAGAGGGATTTCCGTTACGAGAGAACCTTCGTTCGGAGCAAAAGCGATCACAAGATCTGCAAGATCAACGGGATCACTTCCTTTCACCGAAATTCACAAGAACGCCCTCGAGGAATCCGTCGTGATAGAAGAATCCGAAGAATGGAGGAACTCTGGTCAATCCCGCCTTTCTATTCCGTTAAAGCAGGGTAAAGAAAATGTTGAGTTTTCTTACAATCTGGCGTTTCTCCAGAAGCTCTCGAAGCTTAGTTCTCCACAGCCCGTGGAGTGGATCCTTCACCCATGCTTCTCGTTAGCAGGTTTCCTTTCTTATCTGCACCTTCTGCTGCGCTCTGGTCGTCGTAGACTTGCCTCTGAAAATGCCGAAGGAAGGAATCTCGCAAATGCATTTTCTAATATGTGAAACTGACATCACAAAAATGCTTGGAGTTGAAGCGATTAAGCTGCTCCTCGCTCCTTGCTCTCTCCATCGACTCCACCTTTTCTAACCCGAATCTTCCCGGATAGACCCGATAAAGTTTTCCGTTCTAGTTTATTGACCAGGGCGTCTCGCCCTCGGACATTATCGGTCAAAATAAGGGGGAGGGGGGTGGTGGTCAGGATATCCGTTCCCGGAGAAGGGCTGCTTTTATCTTTCTATTACATCCTGCGTCTTGTACCGGGTCCCTGGGTACGACCTTCTTAATGGGCTTTTTAATATGCTTCACTCTCTATGACTTTCTGATCCACGAAAGGGAAGGGTAGGGTTGTGTCGCTAAGGTTTGCTTTCGAGCTTTCGGTAAGGTAGAGGAAATATTCATTTCCATTTTCTTTCTTCCATTGTCAGGCAAGGATCTGAGCTGTATGTATCGTTTTATTCGATGGCGACCACTTCATGTGCTCAAACGGGAAAGGCGAAAATTATATAGGCGAAATATACAGGGTATATAGGCGAGAATATAAATGCAGTAGAAATTATGAAGCGTGTGCGTGTGATTTCCTTCGAAGTTTTTCCCCTGCGAGTTCTCCACCGTTTCTATGATGACCGAAATGGTGTTTCGTCGGTCTTCCCCTCGGTGGGTCACCGTACAACGGATTCGGGACAGGATTTGCAACCGCTGCCGCCATTCTGCGGGGAAGAGAACGGAAAACCACGGTAAGAGTCTCTCATGGTCAGTGGTGGTCAGATTATTACGTTTTACTTACGGGTTTTGCATTTCGCTGATTTTTACTGTAGGACTGACAAAATATTTTACATTATATTGTGACGTCGCATCAAAACATATTCATTGCGTTAGATGCAG